GTGTTAACGTATCAATTGAATCGTGCATCGCTAGATGAGATAATCCGATAAAAGTATCGCGTCAAGTTGATTGGAATAATAACAGTCGCGAAATATTATTTAAAGCGGTTGTAACGGTTCAAGTGAGACAAAATTCGACGGTAGCTCGTGCACGGATTAGGTTTCTGTCAAATGCTATAAACTCGTGGCTTGCCGAAGAGTTTCTCGTTAACGTGATCAACGAAAACGTTGGTTATAGCCGGCAAGTTGCAATTTAATCTTTTCCCCGGTTCTTCCTCGGGAAGTTCGATAACTTCTCAGACTGTGTCCTCAGTATCGCATGTTTTATTAAGAGGGGAGCTTTCTTCAGGAGTTAATTATTCTATTACGAAGTTTTGCAAAAATTCCTGCCTCGAAGAAACTCCACGATGAGAAGGAATAGAAAGCGTTCACGGTACACAAATTTTAATTCGCCTCGAGTTCTTGAATTAAAATTGTTTATCCGTTCGTCGTGTAACACCGAGGTTTATCGAAAGAACAAACGTTACTATTAGTGCTGCTATTGGTTTGATTCGAAGAAAGCATTTTTAATAGAAAGGAATGAATAGCAGTAAAAAAAGGACGTTATTAAAACTAAGTTAATAAATTCAGGTCATGCTTCAAATAATAAATGAAAAATCTTTTACAATTTTCTCTTGAAAGGAAAAATGCACCAATCAGTTATTAATAATTCAAACGATGGAACCTTGCTAGTAAATAAATTAAGATCAAACGACTCCAGTTTATACTGTCAGTTTCTTAATTATATAACAGTGATAGAAAACATAAATATAATTGATTCCAAAAACATGATACTACAAATGAAAAACGAGGGAAAAAGTTGAAATGGTTCTAACGAGGAAATGTTTTCCCCCCAGAAGTCGTTTGATCTTTATTTCTTGATGATTACTCGACGCGCTCAATGTTAGCAGCTTCCGGAAAGCTTCGCTTAATTGAAATGAATTGCAATTTCCAACCTATGGCTGCCAATGGAAACCAAGCTCGTATCGTCAACGGTTTTATGAGTCGTGTTTTTCGCTGGCTCGAAGCTGACCGCGCAATCGATACAATCTCCAGCAATACGGTTCAAAAGAACGGTTTTCTGGCATTTTGCAGCAAATTCATTTAGACACGGTGTCGTGAGACATCAAATATTGACGATGCCGTGTAAATTAAATCTGCCGATTCGTTAATACCAGAGCGCAGTTGCGCGACTTTAAAACTAATTTCATTGGTTCCTAATCTTGTTGCACCGGGATGAAAGTAGGTCTAATTCGAATATCGTTTCAAGTCTTCGTAATTGCACCTAATTGCAAGTTTCCTCGTACACTCTCTTGGAGCTTGTAATTGTTCTATATTCTGTTAAGGAAGTTTTACGAACGGCGTACTACCTGCTAACAAATAAGTAGATTTGCTTGTTATAGCTGTATAAATACTTCGAATGTTAATCGAATGTAACTATAGTTATTTTCTTATTTTTAAACTTTACAAAGTTTATATAAGCTGAACTTATTTTTATTACATTTATAAGAAATTTTAACGAGAAGAATAAGGTCGAAATATACGAAGGATATATTTGTGAATATAAACGGTTACAAATGTTTGCGCAATAAAACAATAGGGAATAATATAGTAAAAATTTCTAATTAAATTCTCGATCCAGGTTGCCTGGGGCAAACACGCTCTTGTTTATTTGATATCCCCGCGTATTTATATTTCATTGTTTATCCCGATACACTGTGAAACGAACAACGGGGGCACCATTGTTTCAGGGTTCGATTTTCGGTGATATTTTACGGGGAAAAAGTTAGACAATAAATCTATACGAAAAAAAAAGAACACAACGCGAATCGGTGGAATTAAATGACTCGTAGGCAATATCGTAAATGTGCTTGGTTAACACAAGCGCAAATCGATGTCGAAGGTGTTAGAATTATCCGATACGAAAGTGCCGTGGGTCCAGTTTTAAGAGGTTAATTCTATTCCCAGCCACTCGGCGTAATTAACTTTCCCACCGTGTTACACTGCGTGCGTGTTTTTGAAAGTTTTCGCATACAGGTTGTTGGAAGAAAAAAGGCGATTCGAATTTTGCAGTCACCTGGTACTCGCCGAAATAAGCAAACAATTCGAGTGAAAAAAAAAAAATTAAAGTTTGGTTTGTCACAATGGACAGATCAAAATTTCGCTATTCGATAGAATATAGGTCGTAAAGAAATTGTTAAATTTATATTGCAAAGTAAGTAAAGTAACCAGATTTAAAAATATGAAACATTTCTTGATCGTCCTGGAATGGTAGGATTCCTAGCGATATAAGAAGCTAAAGCATGTCCCTCGATCGGTCGGCCTTCGACAAAGGCGAAACATTGTGAAAACACGAGTGACCACGAAGAACCTTTTATTGACAACTGTGGGTGTACGAAGTTGCAAGTTAATTCAAACAAATCGTGGCACTGTGTAGGTTGAATTGTTGCACGAAACGCAACGAAAGAATTTACATGAAACATTCCTTTAGCGTTCAGCGATTATAATATTTCGAAGAAAACAAAAACGACTATACCGCGATAGTTTCTAAATGAAATTTGAATTTCTGCTAGGAATTCTGTGTATATTAAATATCGAATTATTTCATTTGTTAGCTCCAAAATTTCACGAATTGTAATGGTATTTTCCACTTTGTATACCTGGATATCGGTAATGTTCGGAATGTGGAGAATGGTTGAATGTGCTAGCATGATTTCAATACATAAAATTATGAGATATTCTCAGAATTCGCTGTCTGTACCAGCAACTGCGAATACGTATTTTGAATGTGTTGGGCGTAGTTGAATTGAAATTCTGCGAATTTCCGTAAAATTGCGATTTTGAATTATCAAGACGCCCTATTACATGTTAAGCAGTAAAAAGGAGTCACAGGTATTTCGTTTCTGCCGTTGAAGTCCAATAGTTCTACATACAATCTGGAGAGTGCTGACTGTATATTCATTTTAATAAATTCTTTCCTTACGTCGATCAAGGGAATTCATTTGTAATATTTATCCGAAGTAAAATAATGATTTGTTTGATACTTCAAAATTGTATGCATACTTATATACAAATACCACGAACAATTTTCCATGACATCTAATATCGATCTAACCCCTTTGTTTATAATTATACAAGTTGTCGACAAGACAGCGTTTTCCGTACACGCAATCGAGCACATTGCATGATCAACTTGTTGAATTTCCCAAGGGTCGGTCCGTCGAAATGAGTTACGTCGTTTCCATCCGAATCGTGAATTCACGTGAATCGAACCAAATGTGATCTCCAAAATGTTATTTACTCCAAATTAAATTCCGCGGAACACTATTCCCTGCTTTTCCCCGGGCATTTCCTGAACCACGATCCTAGGTATTTCCATTTCCCGATATAGCTTGAAATATCTGCGAGTTGCATAATAACTACCACCCTTGCAAATTTCAGCCAAAGAAAATCATACTATTCGAGGGTCTAACTACATGTAACCCTTTAATTACGCAATAATCCAGCGTAATAATAGGAATGCTAATATCGATCGAAGATTGCGTACGAAGGGTACGCGTTTCTACATTTCTAAGATTGGAGAACTAATTGATTATCGATCAGCCACTTAAAGATTAAGTAGCAACAGATATCCACGTACCCCTTGCATCCCCTGATCGTATGTAAATGCCGACGAACACGCGATGCAGTTCGTTATAGCACACTTGTTTACTGCTCTATTTACGACCGCGAGTAATAAAACACGTTGAATCTAACATCTCACGAATACATATATTTGTCAATCGTTAGGTATCTACCATCGCGCATCGGCGGAAACATATCGAATAAATACGCTAGAATCGTTTAACATCCGCTCTGCGATGGTTTCAGCTTCTACTTTGTCATTGTGCTGCAAGTACAATTGCAGTTGCAACAATGAAAACCTGCTCTGTAACCGCTTCTTTCTTTCTTGTCCTGCACAGTGCGCGTTTGCATTATTCCTCTCGATTAATTCCGCGAACCGGCCAGTGTTTAATAAATTCTCCGTTGTCGAGGGAAAATGAGCGTACAGAGAATAATTTTTAATTCGCGAACGTTCGTATCGACGCGTTTCAACTATCGCACGAATTTCTTCATCAAATTACATTCCATTCTCGATATTCACTCGCGAAACGAATAATCAGATTCCACCTAGGTTTCGATACATGTTACAATATATTCATTTTTAATTTCCCTATTTCGTTCACGGGTGATAATATAGTATTTTATGGTGGGCATTTATATTCGTAAATTTCACGTTTGTAAGGAAGAGCTCAATCTTCACGTTGAGATTGTATTCGTTAGACTAGATCACGCACGGATGGTCTTGATTATGGATGCCAGGTAAATGGATTAATTTGTATGGATTATGATAGATTATCGTTTTGCATGCTGTACTTTGCCAAGTTTAGCTCGTTAAAAAGTGAAGTGAAGCGCTTTGGAATATATCGTTATAACGTGGATTTTATGCATCTTGATAGGTTCAATTTTATTATGGATATTAAAAATGATATTATGAATACAATTATTAAAATTATTCTTCTTCAAATATGATTAACATTAATATCGTTAATAATGGTTTACGAATTTTGCATTCGTTTTCCATATTAACACGTGCGCTAAATACGTAACATCGGCTGTCTATGTATCATAACGAATTTCACCGATAACGGGGACGTTGATAGGCTTCTTGTGTGAAGTAATGAAAATGAACACTATAGTGTCAAATACTCTCATCGGGTACAACGGTCTACTTTGTTCTATTTTATGATATTTTCAAAAGAGAAAGCAATTACAAAATATATTAACGTGCATCATAAATGCATAAAGCCTGCAGTCTAATCGCTACAATGTGAATTGTATTCCTATTCATATATAGTTCTCTACAGCTAGTGTATTTAATAAAAAAAGTTACGAAGTGACAAGAAGAATGAAGGACTCACCCCTGAATAAATAGCGCACGCGAAACTGCCCCTTCTCACTGACCGCCAGCAGCAACAGGATTGCATGATCGCCATGCTTCAAACGCGTGGGTTACTCGCACATAACGTACATACCCGATTTGTAGAAAAAATATGTCGGTGCACACCGAACAGCACTAAATACGCGATGGTTCGTGATTCATGGCGAATGATAAGCTCGAAATCGCGACGAAGGCGAGTCAGTTTACCGGAAACATCGCTACTCGAAGGTCAGAGACAGAGGCTCGGAGAACCAACACGTGCGATGACTCGATGCTGACTGCCGGTCTTCAAGTTGGTCGCGCCGCGGAATCCCTTTCTACGCGCATGCGCACTCGATCGCGGCTCCTAGTTCATACTTTTCCACTCGAGCATCCTTTATATTAGCCAACGTTCATCGTATTAACGTGGAAAGCCCTTTTTTGTAAGTCATACCGTTATAAATTTGTTTGTTCTCACTTCGTTAATAAGATCCAGGACTGCGAGTGGGAATTCAAACGAATGCTTAATGGAAAAAGGTATTCGTCGAGACGCGAGTTTCGTTGGATTTACACTATTTACAGGAATAAATTTGTCTTGGCGACTTGGTGATTTCAATCAAGAGTTAAATTACGTTTCAGCACTGTGTACCCGGGAGTTTAACAAAACAAAAAAGGATGGTGCGAGGTTTATTTATTTATCTATTGTGCTTGAGTAATGTTTTCGACTCTTGCTCGAAAGAAATTTATTTTTAAAAATAGAAATTTCTTGTTCGAAAAATGAGATTTATCCTTTGGAGACGAACGATCTTGAGATTTCGTCGTATCGAAAGGGAAGATATGTTCCAGATATTCACGCTAAAGGAAACACCTTGTAGATGGGAATTCTATCGTGTAAAGAAAATCGTGTTTTGTAAGGTCTATTTATTCTGTGTAAAGCAGAACGGAATCGCCTCCACAAAATATTCCTCCCCACGTTCTTGGCTTTCTGTCGCGAAGAACAATTTCCTGACACCCGAAAATATTTTGTCTTTCTTCGTAGGGGGTTGGAGAACTCATATGAAACAATATTAATACAATTACAATGTAGACAAAAAAAGTGACCAACACGATACAATTTACCGTACCTCATTTAAACGAACTATTCTTCTTTCGATCATTACTCGTTTAGCTACTGTTACGGCTGGGGAAAACCAATCAGCCCATTCGATAGATGAACTTTTTACATCGGCTACTTCTTCGTGTACAGGGCACTTCCCGTCACGTCCTTCCTGGTTTTATTGCGAACTGCAGTAACCGCGACGTTTTATTGGCTGACATGAAACTTTTATACTAGAACCCGTAATCTTTCGCATCCATGTCGTGGCGTGGATTACGACTGTGATTCGCCTTAACGTCGCTAATAACCTTTAATGATATCTCGGAACATTTTAACATTTACGATCTACCCGTAACTTCTTGCATTTCCGGTGATTACGATGGTCGAGAAATTCTCCGCGAGGTTACGCATTAATCGGGACACCTGTGGGACAGCACGACCTATTTCGGAGAATTTATTTCGCTTATTCGTTTTCCACGGAGGAAGGACGCCTTCGTCGTAGGCAGGAGCGTTTTCCGCCGGCAGCATGGACGCGCGGAGGTGCCATAAATTGCTGCGACGAGCGGAAGGCAACGAAAACGCCGCGAAAATGAAAGGGAGGGTTGTTCGGAGATAGTTCTTTCGGTCAATATTCCAATTCATCTGTGCACATATTGTTTAGGGATGTCTTAGTCAAATAATGGTCCTTTACAGGATGCAATTCTTTGAATAATATTAGAACAAAAATTGAGAATGAAAAATATCCCAGGTTAAGAAGAAGGACAACGAATGAAGAACAAACCACGGGGTTATCAACAAAAAAAATCAACGTTTAGGTTGTGTGTGTTGGATAAGCTTCTTTGTGAATATATACAACGTGAAAATGATTAATTTAACCGACATATTATATGTAAATTCCTGAAGAGATTCTCGTATATTTGAGTTGAAAACGCGAATTAATTGGATTAATGTCTAACCACACTTCCGGTGATTTGTATTAACAAAATTACAATTTTCTTTCAATTCTTGTATTTCACGATTAATTAATTCTGTCTGAAATGATTTCTGTTTGCGGCTCTCGTGTTGTGTTCCAAAAGTGGGTTGCTTGCAGGTAGGATAACGATAGGGGCATGTATTCGAAACAAGAAGCATTTTCGCGTTTGTTTTTCGTAGGTAGGCGTAACGGACACGAAGGTTGCGTATTGCGTAGGGGTGAAAGTACCCTCGCTTTTACGATATACGTGTCAATAGGTTACGGGTACCTCTGAATAAATTCAAGACTCGGACCCTTTGACCTGCTCCAGAGATGGGATAACGTCATGACGCTTCGTTCGCGTGAGATAAATAAACGATGCCTTCACAAGTATACCGGATCAATGCAATATTTATAAATCGTGTTATTTTTCAACGTTTCAATCTAATGCTGGGATTCCCTTTCTAGACGTTACCAGGTAATCTTTTATCGGATATACGTCGAGAAATGCAGGATGCATCCCTTTGAACGGGGGATATAAATTACTGCGTAGATGGATTCGAGAGTTTTAGTCGAGAAGAATCGAATTAAAAATATATACCGTTTGATAAACATTTTTACTTATCACCGGAGAGGTGGAATATTTATGAGGTTTCATCTAACTTTCCTTAAAGAAATCTAGAAGAGTATCGATCATTCGTAAGTTTATTATTTAAAGGTGGGTTTGAAGCGCCCATTGTAAAAAACATGTTTCGATAAATGGGACCATTCGCGGCTCATGGGAAAAGTTGTCAGATTCGAGCGATTCAAAACTAGGTGAGAATTTCAGGCGGTTGATTGGTCGTCGTTCGCAACGTGTTTACAAGCATTCCGAACGGAAAACTGGAGTAGAACTTGTATTAAAAGAGTTGATAAGAAACTTAGAAAGGCGGTGTACTATAGTTCATAAGTTTATGATTCGATATTGTCGGCATTCTCATGTTTTCCCAACATCGAAAAGGAAAACGATACGATAGAGTAATGATTTTACTGAAATTTAATCGAGGCGAAATTTCCTTCTTCCTTTCATCGCGTGAAAGAAGAGTTGGAAGTTCTCTAACGCTCGCGAAGAGCTGCTTGTATTATTGAGTTACCGATCAGAAGATGCCCAGTGAAGAGAAGTTATTGCTTTCTCTTACCACGAATTCCCGTTTTGTTACAACTTCTTAATTGTTTTCTTTTCCGCGAAATTGTTTTGCGCTTCGTTGAAGAGGTACTTTCTATATTTTATTACCGCATCATTATTTCATGGAACGTTTAACCTTTTCCATTTTAATATCGCATTTATGAACGTAGGAACGCGAATAAACATTGCAAACATATTAGTCGCAGAAATTAATTACGCGTCTTTACATTCAATTATTTATAACTGCAGTTTAAACGATGACGATCGTGATAGCGTCCTCTTCGTTATTCGATTCATCGAGACAGGTACAGGAGACCCCCGTTTAACTTTGGTTTTTTGCGTAATACGGTTGTTTATTCTCGGGTATCTTCTTACCTCACACATGCTATTTTTTATATCCTTCCAGTACTGCATCAGTCTTTCCGTCCTGAAAGGTGCTGTTCCTCGTTAGGTTAACGAGAACAACGGGTGTGACGGTGTTAGCTAACACGCGGCCAAACCGCAACGTAAATCAAGTCCAGGTCCCCTAAAGAGCTTAAAGCTCGTGTTTCCTCGACTCGTCAGCCTTCCTCTTAGTATGCTTAGTTATGCCAACACTAGCATTTAGACGTCGACTTGTTCGCCAGGAGCGAAATTTCCAAGTCTGAAAGCTCGTAACTGTCCAGGACGAGTTCCCTGTGCTGCCCTGCGAACTTCGCACCCTCGTTGACCCCTTTTCGAAACGATATCGAGTCGAAATAAATTTCGTCGGTTGGCAAATTCTCCGTAGAGATTCGAGCCGCGTGGTAAGCTCGGGGAACTGTGTACCGAGGCTGGTCACGCCGAGAAAAATTATGAAGAAAGTTCTCGTTCGGATCAAAGCGTGGTAATCTGGCTGATGCATAATAAGTCGACTTACGCGAACAGGCGTCGCGTAATAAAACGACTTTATAATTCTTGGAGCTCGCTACGTCCCGCGACTTTCCTGGCGACGGCGAAATTTCGTCGCGTTCGTATTTCAACGTCGCCGTAGTTACGAACTTGTTACTCGGGATACTTTATGATCCTTGTTGTTCCGCGAGAGGTTGCGCGAGGCGTTTCGTTCTTGACATTGTGCTTAACAAAGGACGCTCGTCGAATCGTAAACTGTCGAGGAAGCCAATAGCTCCGATCACCGTAAATTCTTCGGTGTATCACGGCGGGGATGTTTACGAAGCTCAGATGGTTGTTGTTTTGACCTTTTCAGGCTTGATGTACGAACAATGCGATGCATGTGGACATTGAGAATTATTTTAGGATACCGTTGGCATGTACAAGATGTATTGTTTCAAGTAGGACTCGGTTTTCTTGATCTATGTTTTATAGATACTCGTTCGACCCTCTTTACTTGGATCTTTGTACTGAAAGTGGATCGACGAATTTTGTTTATAAATATTCATCGTATATCGCGATTCTTTAATTAAATTTATCGAATTCTTAGTAGCTCGGGAGCCTGGCGAATATTCTTCTGTCCAAAGAAACAAAATTTATGTCCTAGGGTGTTAAAACAGTTTTGTGCGCCGTGCTCTCTACGGAAGACACTCGAGTCTCGCAAATTGATTTCGATTTTTCATTCGTTTCATATGGAATACCGTTCGACTGGGACAGCAGGTATACTGGGTGGGTGCCAAAGCTTGGAACTAGAAATATCTCCATTGTCTTTAATAATGGAGGCAAAATGAATATTGGGAAATGGAAATTTGCAAAGACACTGTGTTTGTTTCTTAAGACTCCGGAGTCGAGGATGGTAGGTGTTTTCATTTTCATTCCCTTCAATTATTAGATTAATTTTGATAATAATTAAATGTATTTTTTGGCTAGGATGTCACAGCAACCAAAGTATATATACTCTTTAAAAAGTATGTTCGATTCGTTACTCTGTTGAAAGCCATTTTATTTGCTTTTCGTGCTACAACTTTTTCTCTGGCGTCTATGTTTTTCGGTTATACAATTTTTAATATATCTTTATTTATTTTGTACATTACGTATGTTTTATAGATCGCACTGCTCTTTCTTTTTTTCGATACAAAGTCCAGTTCCCCTATAAACATGTCGTGGGTTCTAATCCTCGTCGGCTCACCCTGTACAGGGTTTGATCGATTCCCAGCGTACTTTCTTTCGAAGTTTCGGTGAATGGCATGCTGGTTGCCTGACGAGAAATTTATCGACATGGACGGACGGCGGAAAATCAATATCCGTGTCGGACTTCAGGATGGCAGGTGTGCCGACCTACCTCACCGAGGGAAAAGAAGCTCTTACCTGTGCGCGTTCTCGAACTATTCGCGATATCGCGGCCCGCGTTCAGGTACGCGAAAAAACGTCATCGAAGTTGCGCGAAATTTAATTGGCAGCCGGCACCGCGTTCGGAGACGTTTCCCGATACTTTTCGCGAGGTAGCAAACTTTTTAATTCCGTTTATCACGCCAACGCCACAAGTTGCGTGCCTCGACCGTGTCGAACAAATTCGCAATCAGTCACACCTGACTGGCGCGCCAGCGTCCTTTAATTACCATGTCCGTGACGGAATCCTTGACGCGTGTAAGAACACCCTTAGGCGTATCTGGGTCGAATGGAAATTTTCTCTTGACAAATTCCATTCCGTCGGCTTATCCGTTCGCATACAACCCAGATAAAGTGCTTGGATTCGCATAAGCTGACGCAGGCATCGCATTTGTTGCGTGTAATTCTTTTTTCTGATCGTTGCCAGCCTGGATCAGGGAAGTCAGGGAAGAATTCGGTATGAGTTCGCTGGACCCCTCGTTTTCTTCTTTTGTGTCTATCACCCTAAATCGATCCGAGATGACACGTGATATTTGCTATAGCATCTACGAGACTCATTATTTATTCCTGGACCAGGGAAGATTTTATGGAAAGCTCAGGATGTTTGTTCTTGGAATTGAACTACAAAAACAGAGGTGAGGTGACGTTGCACGTTTGTATATTTCAGAGTAGTCTCTTATAAACTTATTAAATACTGTACCATTAAAGTGCACCATGGTTTGTAATAATCTATGAAAAGCATTGTGTGTATAAAATATGTTGGATACAGAGTATCGATGAGTTAAAGGCAATCGTTTGCATTGTATAGAAGGTGATCTAGAAAAGCAGACACAGAATTTGGGGCAGATTTTTGTTGTACTTCGTGATCCCTATCTATTTCACCAATTTCTATCGCATAGGGGTGGAATTTTTTAACTATCCCCTTAGATTCATCAAGCTTTGCTTTAACTCTTTGCTGCATAGGAATTCAGGTCATAAAATAGACCCATGTTGCACAGGAATTTTATTGCGTTTTAAATCAAACAAAATTGTTATATTTTTATTAATAAAGGTATCACACCTATACACGTGCAGCTATTGCAAAATTTCGAGGTGGGATTAAAAATGTCCCACCATGCATTACGGTCCATCAAAAAGGTGTCCCAAAGAGTTCAATTACCTTGTATAGTGCATGAAGTAGTGCCAATGTCAGTTTCGAGGCATTACAAGCTACAATTTATTCAAACTTCAGCCTCTTTTTAGACTTCGCAAAGTCGTGTACGTTTGGCAAGATTTATTGTTTATGTATACACAACTGAGCATGCGCAAGTTCGCGATAACAGCATCGTATACAGATAACTGTTCCTAGAAGGGTGTCTGGTAAATATATGTCGGCTATCCATTCGACGATTTATGAAATGCAGGAATAGAATGGGAAAATATGGATAGAGAAACTAGTTCGTATAAATTACAGCACCCTGGTTCGGTTCCGTCGGGAAGACCAGATCGTCGAGTTTGAATCCATCCTTTATCCCATCTCGGGCGAGATCCTTCTTCAACGTATCCAGAAATTGGAAAACCTTGTCTTTCGTTGTTATGGCCACTATGCAACCGCCCCACCTGTATCAAACAAAAATCTCAAAGTGCGGCGTTTAATTTTTACGTGCATCAATTCGAATCGATTCACAGGTTCCGAAAATGACTCCAAAACAAAGAGTCGAAATATCAATAAAGAATGAAACTGTTTCTTGTATTAAAATATAATATATAGATATCAAAATGTGTATTATTTCACAATGCTTTACGTTAGAATTGTTAACTTTATAGCTAGTCAACACTCCAGGGCGATAAAATTGATCGTAGCGTAAATTTATTTTGTACCAGTAAAATAAAACATTTCGTTATTTGAAACAATTACGGGACGCGTTCAATTTACTAGAAGTTCGATGTTAAATATCTCTGTAAATACGGAGTGTTGATACAAACGCTTGGACACGTGTCCGTTTATTATCGTTCTAGATTAGCCAATAAACGCGTGAAATTGACGATCCCTGTGCTGCGACCTGTCCTTGTCACCTCCTTTCTTCGCCGAGTTGAAAATCATTGCGCTTACCTCGGAATATAAGGAAACTTTTCGACGGTTTTATTGCGATCACGTTACCGTGCACCTGCGGCCCAATGAGAATCGCAATAATAACCGATACCCGATGGAATCGATGGGAGATTTGCGTTATTGCACGACTACGGGCTCGTGTTTGATTTCGAAGATGTGAATTGTTCAGATTCGTTTCACGAAATGAAACCATCCACTCTTTTGGAGGGTATTTTTTAACCGATTCAACCGTTTGCCACTGGCCAAACGCGCGAATAGGGACGAAAAAGAGCCAGAGGGTGTAAATTTCCCGACTTTTTCAATTTATCGTCATTTTTTTCTCTCGAGAAAAAAATCGAAATAGGACACGAACAAAATATTTTAGACGATTATATTGATATTAGATTTGGAATGTCATTGTTTATGACTGATACTTGCGATGAATAGAGGCTTCACAAGTTAAACAGTGTTAGCACGGAGTTCCTGATGATATAGACACGTGTCTTGATAATCGACATCGGGATAATTGATGAATCGAGTATCCAGATACCGAATAGCGTGTCTGAGGTTGTGAATATACACACTGTTTGTGTTATTAATAAATTCTATTGGAATTCGTCACTGGTAAAAGCGTCAACACGTTTATCTTCAACACGTTCTTCTATAGAAAGTGGTGACATTTTTTAAATTCAATTTCGACACAGTTGTGTTCCAAAGAAAAATGGTTCTCGAAAAGTGGATAGATCCCCACCGAAAAGCCAACAAAAGACTAGTGGTAAACGCGCAGTAAAGTAAAGTGAGGAGGTAGTAAATCTACCCTCTTCCCGTCAGGGACGCGTTAACCCCTTCGTGCCCATCCTCTTCGATACACACCTGTTTCCGGCAATTTGTATTGCCCTTGGACAATTTATAAGTTCTTGAGCTTCCACGATACCAGTTGTGCATTATCTTTTTGAAAATTGTCTTCAAGCTTGGTATTCTATTAATCGATATCGTAACATAAATATTTCCATGAGTGCATATATCTTCTCCATTAATCATTATTATATCATTTTGTTATTTCTGCTGCCTTTGATTTAGATACGCTATGTGGATGCAATGTGCACCACCAGAGAAAATGGTTTCTTCTTCTTAAGGGTGTGCTTATTTTGTTTGATGATTAATACAGGTTTGCACTTACCCAGCTCCAGTCAGCCTCGCCCCGAGTGCACCGCAAATCATAGCCTTGTCGACGAGTGCATCCACGCTGGGATGGCTGCACTCGTAGAGTTTACGGAGGCTGGTGTGGCTCTGCGACATCAGGCTTCCAAGCTGCCGAAGCTTCTCTTCTTCCATTATGGCGTTCCCTTCGCTTATCCGCTTAAACATCACCACCCTGCCTGCCTCTAAAACACGCAATCGTACCGAGGTTTAATCGATCGAAATTGAATAATCTCGACGGTAGCGCACAGAGGGTGATGTTTAGGGGATGTATGTGTGCATTCATAATCGGGGTTATGTTACTCGAGGATTCTACAGAGTGCATCATACCGTTTGGACTTGAAATACTCCCCACAGACATCGACGAAGCTTAACGTTGTATCAAAAAGTTTGCAGATAAGACCGGAAGCTTCAGCTACTGTGCTCAAGTTCTGTGCTCGAGTATACCGAGTTGAAACTCTGCTTAAAGAAAACTTTAGATTTTAAGTATCACTGTCGAGCACTGAAAATGACTTTAAGAGATATCTATCAAACTAATTCTGTTCGATCGAAGGAAATAATTATGTTAGATAATTTACATGGCTCGCTCTGTATTATCCTCGCGTGCGCAGATCGTTTCGAGGGACTACAGCACGTAGTTTCTACAGTGATGTTAAATGCATGAAATTCAATCGTTTTAAGTAGCTTTGTTAGTAAAGTAAACCGCCATTATTCATGTGAGCGTGGCGAGTATAACGGGTTCAACTATGAAGGAATACGTGTCGTTGAATTTTAATGCAAATTTCCACAAGGCGAGGGAAACGCTCGATATCGTTGTTTCGTTTTTATGTGGCGTCGCTATTCAAACGGGATTTACTCATGTAATAAGATTTGGCCAGTGATCGTCGAGGGAGCGAAAACGCGGGAAAAAAGTGGACAGAAGCTACAAAGAGTTTCTCGCGCGGTTTCCGTTGCATTTCCAGGGCAGTAAATTCTATGGATTGCGACGAACGGCAGCTTTGGGGACAAATAACGACCGCGATCGATAAGCTACCGCTGGGAAACCTAATTCCTTCATAAAGGAATGCTCGTAAGCGATTGATAAGCAACGACTGTTTCCTCCGAGAAACAATTCAATAATTTGTGCGTTCGAAATTTCCTCTTAGAAAAATAATTGTATTGATAAACTAGTTCATTCTCAATTAATTTCAAGGATATCTTTAAGTCTTTTTAATTCAACTATTACTTAAAAGCATAGAAGAACGTCTATTTTATGCTATAAAAAATAGTATGGTATACAAGCCATCATCCATAAATATATTTTCATAACAAGAGAGCGTCTCAAGTCAACTACCGTTAGGCCCTCGCAATTGTAAACCTTCCACTGACCAAAGGATACCATTTTCCCCAATCTTTAACTGGAAAGAGTTAAATCCAAGATTACAAAGAAGTCTAATCGTTACAATTTTTCCATTATTCAACCAGACCGTTGAATTACTTCTCGGGTAAGCAACATCAGCGTTTGCATACATGAATTATTCTCCTGGGAACGCAGCTAAAATCGACCGACACATTTACGTGAAAATTTGCGACATAAATAGTCGTTGTTTGTTGCGGAAAACTTTTGCTTCCGTCGCGAATTTTTTTCGAAGGAAACACTTGGTCTTGGTTCGTGGTCGCGAGGAGGAAAAACAGTCGGACATTTTCTGCTCTTCGTCTGACGATTTTTTTAAAGATTTTGTTACCTTGGTACACGTGCAGAGCGCGTTGTTTAAGCTTGAACGTTTGCGAGTCGCTGAAGGACCCTAAGCGTGATATCTCTCGGAGCCTTTGGTTCGTCGTGTCCAGGATCTCGCTGATCTAGAAAGATAACGGGCACGTCTGCTGATAATGGACCCTCGACCATTATCGATGGAATCGTAATTCCTCGGTGGCATGGTCCGAAGATGCTTGAGAAAATTTAGAAAGCATCGAGGGTCATGGGGCATTACAAAGATGTTTTACTGTTTTCGTATCTTATTAAAATACTAACAAACACTGATTACTAGAAAAAGTATAGTACCTAAATTATCACCAGATCAAACCAGATGTCGATGTTTTCTATATTCAATTTTACATTAGTCATAAAAAGACTATAAGATGTATACTTTGTAAGAAATTAATAAGATGCCCTTTCGACGTTGCAATACTAAATACCTCGCTTAGGGTGTATGGTTCCTCGTGGAGGTTGTTTGTTACCACCGGGACCATTTCATCCGCGCTGATGCCAAGTGCCTCTTGAACGTCGCTTAATGTCTGTACATGCTCCCAACCCTTGTTCTTTTTCTTCGCTATTATCTGTAAACGAGCGAATTAAGGTCGCCACGAATAAAGCTCTGGCCAACTTGAGCTTAAAATCTTCACTGGTTTCTAAAGATCGTTCGTAAGGTATGTATCTTCGATCGATTTTGCAAGTAAAGTCATTAAAGGAACATTCTTCATGTTTTCGATTGCGATACACCAAGGGCAAAGTTTAACAGCGTTCATCGAGTGTTTCGGAAATTCAATTTCACTTGTTCAAATTATATTTGGACTATCGACGCCGACGTTGCTTCTAACGGACGGGAGCACATCGATCAAAGTCAGTCGCGTGAGAACCGCGAAACTTAATCAAGAAGCAATCTCATTAGTCCCCTCGAAACTTCATGCTTTAAGGATTTTTTCAATGTCCGTCGCTGCTCGAAAACAATGAGAGAATTTCATTTTACGACGATTTAAAATTTTAATTTCTGTTCCCTGTCAAATTGTGTCACTTCTTTTCCTCCACCTTCGTTGTCCCACATTCTTCGCACTTTTTCGTTGGACTGTTTAATTGTAGTAAAAAGAGTACGTTACCTGCGCAGCCAGTCGACACTCTGCAACCCTTAAATTGAAATCTGACGTAGAAGCTTTGTTGTGACATGCCTGGCTGTGCGCTATTACGAACACTGCAGTTTCGGGTAGAGTGACAATTGTGCCTTGCAACGGATTGAATTCAATCAGCATCGCGGAGCCTTCGTGAAACATCAATAAATGTTAAACCAAACCTTCACTTGAGATAAAGTTAGAATAAAATCGATGTACGATGAAAATAAATACCGAGGTAAGTAATATATAAAATACCGACTTAATTATTATTCCAAGCCTTGACTTATTCAAATAATTGCTTCCGTTGAACTGTATGCAATTGATAAAAGAACAGAAATTGATAAATTTGCATATTTTCGCAAATTTAACGTAGGAGTTAAGCTGTACCAATGAGTCACTCCGTAGTCGGGTCGAATCAATAGGTTACTTAGGGCTACTTCCCTCACTATTATAACATGTACAACTCCTACTTTTACGATATGATTCCACGCGTCTGTGTTTGTGAGCGATTGTATGCGCCCTTGTAGTCAGAATGGGCAAAATTGTAGTCGAATGATAGATAATAAATAAAACTAGATGAACCACCATTTATAGCGATCCTTTAGCAATCCAGAAATATTTCAATAAGAATATTCCAATGAATATTACGCGTACTTCGTACTTTAAAAATCTAAGCAGTAAAAAGGAATGTTGTTTTCTTATATACTAATAAAATGTCTGTGCAATTATGATGTATTTTAGAAATAAAATATATTCACCAGCCTTCCCGAGAAACGCGATCGCTTGATCCATTCCGCCACCCTGAGTGCCAATGTACCTTTCAGCCCTGGCGCTGATGGTAGCCAGCCCACGTTTCGACAATTGGTGCTGTAACATGGTTAAACGATTGCTGAAACGTTAACATCGCTTTAAATTCTGTTTGGAGCTGGTAGACTTAGTAATTGCGAAAGCGACACGGAGAATTGGAAACGATGGAACTAGGAAAGCGAACTTCCCTTATTCTTGGCGACTGAAACTTTCAAGACAGTGGAAACGTTAATTAAATTTGTTTTAACCCTTGCAGAGTATTCGGTGTGTACGGGAACGCGAAGATACGTGTCAGAGGAAACAGTTGCTTCAGCGTTTGTAGAAGAATGCAGTATATTAGGGTATTTTGGAAATTTATACAGCGACGATTCCACGAATTTTGGAAAGAAATTATAGTGGCATAGTTTTACGCGCTATGTATTTTCCCATCCGGAACTAAATTTTGTTCTCGCCTCCAGGTGTAATCATCGAAAGTGTTTGGTACATCAGCGCTAAAGCAACGGATCGATGAATCACTTTCCGGGGCTAATGGCACTTGCAACTTATCGAACATCCGTTGCGGAAACGTCTTTTCCAGCCACGCAAAAAATTCCACCTAGATTGCTCCATGGACAGAGCGGAGACGGACGATCCCTTTATCAACGAAGACAAGGGACAACACTCTTCATCGTGAACACGTAGAAACGTGTAACGCGTACATTTATGCATATAAAATATGTGTGAATGAATGTATTTCATAAATTAATATCGACTTTATTATAATGTCTCGGTTAAGTCTCAGTTAGTTCTTGGTTAGTTATTAGTTAGGTCTCGGTACATATTTTTCGATACAAATTTATAAGTGTATCTTAGGCACCCCAAAGATCCAAGTCTAATATTTTGAAGCCGCTACAGTGAGATCAATTGATACGTACACTGTGAAGGATTTCGATCAAATGTTAACTTTCATAAAATTCAATAGTTCAAGCTATCGACCCGTCCCCTTTTACTCATTTCCGCGCAAAACTAGGATCATGAGACACCGCGAAATCGTGGAATTGAATGTTCCGGACGAACCAACGGCGGTGATGATTCATTTCGTTTGCAAAATTCGCAATATCCTTCCAACGAGTCAGAGGCTCGATTTGGTGCTCGACTGGAGAATCATTCATAACTGATTATCCGTAAACGTTCGCGGGTGGGTTATTCCACGCCAAATTTCAAATGAAATTGAGGTATGATTTAGTTCACGTAAAGCTAGATGAGGTTTAAGTCGTCGCTGGTTTCGAATTTATCTAAAAAATACAAGACGTTGAATTTAGTGAAAAATAAATTTTCAATTCCGATACTATCAACCGTAGTGAGAGAAAATGTTTGAAAATCAGAAAATTGTGAATATGTTCCTTCGAGCTTTCTACACAAAACGGGTCTTCCACGGTGGACGTGTATGATTGACACCATAATGACCTGTCAACAGTTGCGCTGCCATGCATTTCATTCAACCGACCGCACTCGGTTGACCGTACTGATTTCACGATATATTAGTTCAAGTAATTCTAGACACGTAATCAGCAGGTGTCGCAGCAGTTTGAATGGTGTCATGTGCACCTCTAAAAGAGTTGTACACCTCTACGCTAATTCATGCCTCATCGAGAATTTCCAATTAGCATCATTGGTACTATTTTCAGTTTTGGAGGGAAAAATTGTCCTGCGATTTTCGAATAAATTCGAAACTACCATAAAGATGACTTAAACTCCCCTTTATTGTGCGTGGCTCACATCATATTTCAATTTTACCGAAACTCCTGACGTCTAACGCAAAAGGTGATCGATCTGGCGCGGAATAACCCGAGTACGTTTCCGCGTCTCGTTCTGACGGAAACGTGGTCAATGGACGGGAATGTATCAGGGATTCGTGGGATGCTTCGTTCAAAGGCCGCGTGCTCTCGAGACTCCGTCGAAAGAGACATTAGGGTTCCGTAGAACTTTTCTCATCGATCTTGGGAACCCCCAGAGGGGCAGGGCGATGGTGGCCACCGGAAAGAGAAAAGAAAGACGAGATTTTACTTATCCCTCTAGTCGGGATGCGAAAGATACTCTCCTACGAAGTAGCTGCACCTAGAAGGTGCAACCCTTTTTAATTATTTTTCAGGTCTTCAAATGAGATATTTTATTAGTTTAACAAATCTAAAAGTATCTGTGAAATCATCATTTTTTTTAAATCAATAAAACGATACTTGGAACAAAAACATTCACTCTTTCCAATGAAATAAATATTGAATTTACGAGCGATTTATTTTTATACACATATCAACGATAGCCATGGAATCGTGAAATGCTTCGCAAGCTGAGTTCTTTGTTTTCGCTGCGTTACAGTGAAATTGTATCGAGTAAAGTGTATACATAAGGATAAATTCCAACGTATAAAGCCACCCCCCCCTCCCCCCCGACTACTCTCGACAATTTCAAGAGTACGCGGCCCACGTCGCGAGGATGCGACTCTTTCTTTTCTGTAGAATCTCTCTGTTATCAGTGCCAGTATGAAATTCCTTTCCTTGTCGAGTCTATCTACTTGGAGCTACCGAGAAATGAAAATCCTTTGTAGGATAGTAAGATCCTTCTGCCTTCTAGGCATTCTTCGCGAAGTTTGACGAGAGCCAGGTAATTACACCATTCCTGAGTAATTACTGTCAATATTGCGCGAGCTTCCCATGCTTACAAGATCGTGTAATCTTTGATTATATCACGAGTAATAGTAGGTGTTTTGAAAAAATGCTGAAAACAAGCAGAAATAGCATTATTTTTCCTGAAGTTATCCTGGAGTTAATAATCGTCCCTTCATCGCCTCGGTAAGACCACATTTTACAATTAACGCGAAAGGTTATCTTTTCGGGGCAAGATAAATCATTCCCACCCTCGGCTCAGTCTAGAACCAGATAAAACTTTAGTAGTAATTCTTTTAAAAAGAGAAGTTAAACAGATCGTCTACCTTCGTAAGCTGTGCGTTAAAATATATTTTCTTCTCCGCCGCAGATAAACGTTGATCGCGCTTTGAGTTCCTCTAAAAACAGCGAATTAATCCCTGAGGGGTTGTGAGAAATTCTCGAGTCACTTTTTACTCCGATATGAAAGACCTGATTGGACACGAGAAAAAAGGAGAGGAACGATTAGTCGACGGGATTTGACGTTTAACGATAGAAATTCCGATGGGAGTATTCATAGGTTGCCGTCACCATCCTATTCATTCCTTCAAATTATGTTTGACATTGGACTTCACAAATTTTAGAAATCAAAGAGTAGAAATAGTTTCCCGAGAAGGGTACTGAAACGAGGGATTCACGCGAATCGATGATTAGGTGCAAACTTACAGAAGCAAGGATTGCTCGAAATTCCTCTGGGGAGTGCAGACGATGCCACCACAAGGGTGTTGAAGTTTCAGCTAGCAGTCTGCGCACTCGTGCTCCAAAACTACGTATCCGCGATATTCGCAAGACCATAAATTCATAACCAAACGTCTGTTCTCTTATAACTGTTTGTTGGAGTTAACTCGTTGTTATTTTACGTGGCTCTGAAGTTTCCGAGCACTTTCTGGTCACCATGCATGATAAAATAGTTCAAAAAAATGAAATGAATATGTATTACTTGTTACTTATTCCCTTGGTAAAATGTTTCGTACAATATTTCGAGTGTAGAGAACGTAGTTTAATTTGAATATTACGATAGCAGAGTTGACGAAAAAACACACCAATCAGAGACTCACCTGGCTAACGTGCATGGTCGAAAGGACAGCAGCAGAGACGAGAGCACTCGAGCTCGAGAGCCCTGAATTAGGAGGGATGTTTCCCCAAACTGCAGCAAGGATTCCCGAAGCTGCGGTTTCTTCTGGGATCACTTCGAGGGCTCCTTTTACGCCGCAGAGGAAATACTTGTACCAGTCTGGACCACAGCTGGCATCCTCGATGCAAACACTGGAGGTAATATCGAATTTATTCCTCTTTTTGCTACCCTTGGATCAATTAGCTATCATTAACATTACAAATAATTGTATAATTACAAGAAACATTTCTGAGTAAAATTCACACATGACCCAAGCTACCTTTTACTCATTTATTTGCTCGTCAATTATCATTTCTGCGGTGAAATATAACGCGATAAATTTTTTGATGTAGGAGAAAAATTCTGTCGCGTTCGATTGAGAATTTATTAGATTTTGCTTTGTAAATTTGCTTTTATTAAAGTTTCCCTACTCGCATTCAACGCGAAATGCATTATAAATTTATCGAACATTTTATCGAGGAGACACTTTACGATCGATGGAAAATTATATGCGATTGAACAAAGTTACACTAGTATCTCTGATGAATCGTAATACAGGTAATGTTAAAATAATATTAGCGTATATTGGGGGCAAATATTTAATGTTTTCATTTCATGTGATAGTTTCGCTTCGAATCCAAGCTCGATTTTCGATTAACTACGATTAAGAGCGATTCTCACGGCACAGTGAGCGAAATAATTGCCAATAAATTTTAATCGACGCTGTACGATATTATAATTTTGTTAGACACTTAATGTACACTAATTATATTTGAAGATGACCTACTACGAGCCTCGAAACAACCTTCATGTATACATATAGATCTCGTTTGTTTCTCAGAGCATCGAAACATCTCTTTCCATATACTTCCAGTAATGATTATAAGTTTTCGTTTCCTTTACGACATTTTCACGCCACGGAGTCATCCGTGAATATATTTGCCGTGTAAAACCCGAGAGAAGTTATAAAGCACAATGAAACGTGCAGCGTAAGGATGGCGAATTGCGCTGCCTTCTAGTATTATGCTCTTTCCATTTGCATTACGGCCAACTTCATTTTTCTCTTCCGTTGGAGAGACCGTGGTTATTACACGTAGAAAGTTATTCTTCCTTAGTGGCCGACGAGAGAAAGATTAATTAGAGACACTGCAACAAGTTATACAGCTACTGTCACGTAAGCTTTATTAAGAATTTGACTATATCGCGCTGAAGCGGCACGGAGATCGGATCAAATTAATTCAGCGACTACGTGGACTGTAAAATTAATTTCCATCGGCCTCCACCCTCGGGAAATTTTCTTTAAACTCGATATGATTCCGTTTACCAGTTTCTATTCAGAGTATAGAAAGTTTCTTTTCGAAAACTACAAGCTACTTTTATTTCATGCTAAGTGGACCGTATAAGTAAATCTTACATATTTTATTATGTTTGCCCTGACACTATCTTACTTATTTATTTTCATAACCATGAATTATCCTGATATAAAAATATAGTAATAGAGATTGAAAGGAAACTATAGGTTCCTATCGAATCATTTATAAAAGAAAACGTGTCTCGAAGGATCCCGTAGTTGCTTCTCTTCCCCGAGAATAAGTTTAAAAAATACAGAGTTACGCGATGAAATAGAAGCGTCCTGACTTTTTTCACAGCCACATTTTCACGGTCAATAAAGAAAACCAGCTGCGAGTAACTCCCGACTATTCTTACGTAATAAGCGACAGATTCGCCAGCTGGTGTTCTGGTCACTTCGAATCGATCTCGCGTGGTTGGCTATTTTTCTCAAACATTTCCTCCAAGATGTTTACGAACGTGCACACAATTTGCAACGTTTACGGCCATTTGCAAATTAAAGTACCTACGTTCATTGAAAATCGATCGATTCCACAAAAGCTGAGGCAGAATGTTGCTTTTCCATGAATCCACCGCTAGAGAGGAAGTATTTCTATACTTCCATTCAAGTTCGCGAGTTGAGACAGTCTTTTTACGGCTTCTCTTATTTCCTATTGAAATACGCTAATAAAAAATAACAGAAAACTGGAGTGAATAATAAAAGCACTAAAAGAAAATTCCAAGAATTGCTTTACGGTGAATACGGAATAATCTAATATGAGAAAATTAACGTTTCATTTATCAGGTAAGGTAAAGGAAACGTTTATTAAGCATTTCTATGCAAAATTTAATTCTCCGCGAGGTTTGCTTAAATTTCCTCGAGAATTCTCAAGAATTTTTAACGAATTCCCATTTACGTTCTTCGGAATGACAAACTTCAAATATTCCTGAATCCTCGACTTGTAGAGAGAACGTTTCCCCACTTTTGACAATCGTAAAAAATATTCAGCCTATATAAATGAACACGCAAGCATGTGTCAAATGAAAGCCCACTTGAGAACGAATCGCGATCATTCGAATAAATAAAAGATAAATTTCGATCCGATACGTGCTCGATAAAAATTGCAATCTACGATGTAAAAAGAAATTATTAACTTGGTATTCGGTGTCTTCGATCGTCATTCGTTGTTTAAATGAAATTATGCTCATCTTTACTTTACAACATTTTGTTTTCGCGTAATGTGAAGCTTCGTAAAATGGTATGTCGCGCTGGGTTCGTCGATTTCGTTTTATTCGCGTCGCAGGGAATAATTTCGTTAAATAAATCCCACGATCGCGAGGAGGACTCGCGATTACCCGCTCATCCTCGTGAATATCTCGGAGCCAGGTATTTCCGGCTGACGGTCACTAAACACCGAGCGACTAATGTAATTACATGGCCGTCAGGTTTATCGTTCCACCTTTCATTTTATTGCCTTTCTTTAATCCAGACGCGAGCGTTCAGAAGCGTCCGCGGCGGTTTTCTGGGAAATTAGTTTTACGCGTCGTGCCGAATGGCATTTATTTTTGTCCCTCGCCGCGAGAAATGCACCGGTCAGAAATTTCTCGCCGTGAAATTGCATTCCAATGTCGTGTAAGGGAATTTTGCATTAACTTTCAAGCTAATTCGAACGAATGCAAGAACGAAAATGAGCTGACGAGGTTATTTCCATCAAACTGCAAGTACAGGTCTTGTTTGATAAGAAGTTAGCGGTGGAAGATATTTCCGTTAACATATTTCCTTTCGAAATTGTTGATTTCATAGAATCCTGCTGGGTTGTAATCAGTGTCGAGTGAAATACACATGATTGATTCATTAATGAATGGTCAAACGCGATTACCTCTGGAAGATTACACACTACTGATTCATGATTGCAGATTACAAAGTGTAGCCTCCCATCGCTGATTAATCTGACTATTACGAGTGGATTATGAGAGCAATGATCGTACAACAATCGTTAACCTAATATTGAATTCCGATTGAGTAGCGATATCCGAATCCTTTTCTTGACACGAGTAGAGGTTGGAACAGATCATTTTTAAACAAAAATTCGTTGAAACGGTGTCCTCCCACTACACTTCATGTAACCCTTTTTTCATATTTTACTTATAGAACACCTACCATAGTTTGCTAGTCTATTTTGACAAAAACCTGTATAATACGACACACTATGCCCCTGACAATGCTATTAAGCTCGTCCACGGTAAGTAAGAGTCTCAAGATAAAGTGCGGTAAACTTGCTACCCGACTCTAGATCGTGTTTCCGGAAGTAGAGTGTAGCGCAATGCTCCAATTACTTACAACCCCAAAAGCTCTAGATATAATTTAGTTCGTCTTTGGTAATTGAATCTCGCGTCATACCAATCGGAGTAAACAAACTGCACTTAGGCGTAAACTTTGTCGCGCGTTAATTTGCGAAGTTCGTTCCACGAGGAAATCCGAGGCTACAGGAAATTTGATTAACCCATGATCATTTCAAAGAGATTACGAAAGCTCGCGAGTAAAAGTGTTCGTGAGATGCACGAACGGGTTTTTAAATTCTGTTTACCGAAATTGTCGTGGATAAAAATGTGGTAATTTCATTACTGACCTCAAATCCTTCAAGTTGCATTGGAAGTCCTCGTACTTCGGGTCTAGATTGGTAAGACGAATGCCTTTCGAGGGAGCGACGGCAACGAGGATGTCCTGTTCGATGGCCATCGGACAAACAGCGTACCCGCAATAATCGATGTGCTCGCCAATTAAATTAACTCTGCGAACGGACGAACAGAACAAACGCAATTACTCTTGGGAGAATTGGAATCATCAACAGTTGTATAAGTGAAAGCTGATATAAACAAGATTGTAATAAAGAGATTATCAATTCGTCGCAAATAACGTGTTTATACAAGAGGTAGGAACTACAAGAAATGGATCAACATTTAACTAATGGTTCTTCTAAAATAGACAAACTGAAGTTTAAAAATATATTCTGCTCGTTGGCTTACTGTTTAAAACTATGGAACTAGACGAGGATCAAGTTGATTTTTACCTTCCTGGAACTCTAACGAAGAACAGAGGCTCGATATTGTACTTCTTCTCAAAATGGTTGGCCAGAGTCATCAGCCTGCCTTGAAACTTCTCATCAGCATGAAGAATAGGAACCTGTTCCTCCGACTCCATGTCCGACTCCCTGTTCGTACTATTCGGCATATAAAAGTAAAAATTCCTCCTCGTTATTCATTACAGACTTCAATTAATCAAAAAACGTTCTTTCTCTATTTCCATATAAAACTACACTCTATTGCTAGAAATAAATCGTTGTGCAATTTTGCGCGAAAAGAACTTCGCGCGAAAATTACAAAGTAACTCTCGCGCGGAAATCGATTCGGGTACCAGCCGTGTTTGGCGCGGGAAATTTGATTTTTGTAACCGTAGAACTCTTTGACGAAACTCGAGCGACGAGTAGACAGAACACGCGGCGAGGAATTCAATTTTCTCGCGATTCGATATCCTGTCGAACTCGAGTACTGTCGAATTCGACATCCGTCACGGGGATCGTTTCACCGTCGAAGCGGATTCTCGAGGCGGATGACGACTGCTACCGATGAAGCTCGCGAACGAGGTCAACGCCATTAATGCAATCGCGCTGTTACGGAAGATAGGGAACCCGTCGTGTCGCTCGAGCTGTCCTAAACGATTGGAAGCTTTCCTCGAGCGTCACGATAATTCGCTGGTTGGCCACAGTTTCATTCGAGATGAAATTTGTGGACGAACGTTCGTGCTGTCGAGCGAACGAGGATAGAACAAAATTGCAGACCCATGAATTTTACACCCGTCAGAATTAAACTGTTTATTAAAACAATTTCGAGCCAAATTCTTATTTGTTGGCAAGATATGTAAATATAAAATATATGAATGTATTCATTAGGAATAGAAATTAACCCCGTGCCCTTTTTATTCAATCACTTGTAACTGTAGATTATTTTAGCAGGTAATAATACTTCCACATCTATTGTATCATTAACTTTGTAAACGATCGTTTGTAAAGTTAGTTAATCAGTTGTTTGTCTGGAAAGTCCACACGAGAATAATTGTTCAGGAAAATTATGCCAGCGAGCACTACTAAGTACAAACAAGCGCGTGAATCATTCGGTACATAATTATTTTTATCAGGCACAATGAGCTACACGAGCACACGTTCAACTATCGACGCACACGATTACGTGACGATTGAACGATTGAAACATTTCTCTATTTTATCCATCCGCAGAGATTTTCGAAATTGTAAACGTGAACGAACACGTTCTCTGCATTGTTTCATACCACATAATTCCAGCACGTTTTTGATATTGTTGCTTGTTAAAAGGATAATGCGTTTCGGTACTCGTTCTAACTATGAATTTTTCGATCAAGGCTCGAGGAGTAAATAAATTAAAACCACATATTCTTTTTCGAGCGATAAACCTTAATTAAAAGTTTTAAATACATGTATAGAACTAGAGAATTTTAAATATTGCAAAATCTCTGCAACTGAACGTAAAATCTCATTTTATGCATGTCACGTTTAACTGCGAATTTATAATGTCAACATTTAAAACTTGAAACAGCTTGATATGTTGATATAAAATGCTGCACGAACGTGCTCTTTCTTTTGACCTAGTGGAAAACAAAACACTTGAGAATGTATAAACATTTCTAAGCCAACAGCAATTCGAAGAATACATGAATATAAAAACGTATAAATAAATAAACGATTAGTTTCGGACTAGAGAATTCACGACCTTTCTCTATGGACTTTCCAATTGCTCAAACTTAAATACGCATCAAATTAAATTTCAGTTTTTGTTTAAATTCTTTCTTCTTTAATTATCGTTACAATTTTGATTTTTTAATTTACGTTGCAGGCTAGGTATTTTCAAATAAAAGTATACCTAAATATACATAATACAGCAACTGAAAAGAAATAACATCGATAACAAACACGTCTTAATCGTTTTGCACATTTGGACTATCGATAGCAAGATTATTTTTAATTGGAAACATTCTTTTACAGATACGAGGAAATCAAATTACCCGAATTGTCCCGCCCTACGATAGGCGTCCCTTTAGGTAGTTCTCCGCTTGGACACGAGTGGCGCCAGAAGTCAAGAAGCCCACGAGGATCCAGCTGCAAGCGTTCGAAGTTGCCGGAGCTCTGAAGAATTTAATCGATAACGATTGTATCAAGCAAAAGTGAAATGACATATTTGAAGTCTGCGATGGAGAGAGATCGGCTCGCTTCGTATCTTCTCGTTTGGTGCAGCTGCGACGTATGGCAATCGGTGAGATGAACATTGTATTTTACGTTATCAATTTCGCGTCTGAATAGAGGCTATTTGGCGCATAGAACGATACGTACGTAGCTTCTCGTTTAGACATTTTCAAGTTTAATTAATCAAATTGACGCGTATAATTTCGTTGGCTACACTATTCTCGCGATTTGTATTACAATGTTTAGATAACCTTGCGTACGAATACTTTCTATACATCTCGAATAAATTGTTTCGAAATTTTCCCGTTACCGGCTTCCCGCGTTTCTACGTTTTCTATGAGAAATGACATCCGAGCAACAGGGTTAAATTTGACATTTGAAAGAAATTTTCTGTTGTATCGCGAAGGGTCTACAAACAGAGATGGACAAAAAGTTTTTTTCTAGATAATACATTTCAAATATCGAGTCAAAGATAACAAATTTTTCAACCGTTTGATAAACATTGCAATCTGACTAACGCAACCTAACTGCGTTGCATATCGAAGAAGCAACAGCTTATTTGAATAGCTAATTGAATACATATTGGCAATAAACATGGTGTCCAGAGTTCTTGTATGTCATCTAGTATTCGAATAACCTGTCCATCTTAGTTGTCTGTGTATGTGTACGCCAAATAACACGCACACAAGCATGCACGCTGTTGGGTACAAGCTAACGCCGGCCGTTGCTGCGTCAGCTGCCGTGTAAAGACGGAAGCGGAATGGTTACTACGTGGCTCCTCGCGGTATTATTTAGAACAAAAGTAACAGGTTAAATTAAAGTAACGTATTGTACATACCTGCTACTGCACTCAGCGGTTTTGGTCCATAGACTGACAACACGTCGAGTTGTCGTATCAGAATAACCTTATCAACACGTATTGTTTTTTTCTAACACGAGTTTCAAGGACGCTGAATTAGGCGGCTTATCGATCAGAATGAGCTGTCGTACGAAGTGCGACGTATCGCCGCGAGTGTCGCTACTATTAGGTGGCATTCGCGAAATACTTTGGCGCGTGATTCGATTTCGCTTACGGCTCGAAAGTTATGAAACCGGGAGAACAAAATTAATATCACGACGACAATTGTAGAGGATACTAGATTGGCAATGATAGTTTCGAGAACATGATTACAATAATTGGTACTGTAGCTCTTGTGTTTTAATTCGTCTGGATGGTGATTTTAATCAAGTTTTTATTATAGAAAAGATATGTGAACGATTTAATATTTAGTTTAGGAACGTGTCATACATTTTTGATAAATTTTCAGGTATTTTTGTATGTCATTGTCACATGCTACCTTATCGATGTATGGTGCAGGACGATTAAAGTGCTCGTAGTGGTAGGAATTAAAATGAATACATATTCCCATAAGGTTATCCTCTCTACTGTACCGACGAACCTACCGTCGATAATTCCGACGTGTAAATTTCTTATAAGTCGGTACCATGTTACCCATATACAGTAACGTTCACTCTCAACCGTACTGTTACATTCGGGCAGTTCAGCAACCCCTTCATAGATGGCAGATTTTATTTTAGAAATTCATCGTATATACCATCCCTTATACTCAAATTGCATTTCATTTTCTCTTTCTATTATACACCCATGTATGCATAGCTAACATTCTAAACCATCAAATCACTGTTTCTAATTCGAACGAGTCCCTCGCATAGGAATCAAAGTACTTCACATGCAAATTTTATTTAGAAAATAAATTTCATCGTCGAGTGGTGCCACAAAATTCTCCTGGTAGAAGAATATCTTTCTCCTCTCGAGACCACCTCGCTTGTTTCGATCTCGCGTTTCCATATTCCCGCACACGTACACATACGTACATAGGAAGCAGACGTCAGTTTAATTCGTATTACTTTCCTCATAAATCCGTCGGGATTCGTGGCCGGGTAGGGGAGGCAAGATGAAGTCCGCAGGAGTAAGCGATATAATGTCGCATATAACGCGATAGTTATGTACACGTATATACGGTTAGCTACGGTTCACGGTAGGAAGGGTCCTTAGACAGGAACGAGTATAACCTCCCTTTTCTTTCTCTGGCCCGTTATAGCCCCCTCTCGCCGTTCTTGGTCTCCTTGAGCCAAGGATGTACCGATTCCAGACAGTTTTTGCTGAAACATCGCGCCGTTGATCCGGCATTTTCCAGGCCGCTTGGTTTATCGCTCGGCCTGATCCCTCTGTTCGTACCGCGGTGTTACAAGCCCCTGCAATCGATGTTTTCATCCCATCTTCCTTACTCGGCTCCGTCTGTGCCCCCGCCACCCGTCACTCCCCGTTCGACCCCACTTCTCGCCCAGTTCTCCTAGCGATTTCAGTCTTCTCCCGTATTTCTCTTTATCTTTCTCTGCCTCCGCCGCCCCGTCGGTTCTTCCGAGATAACCGCCGCCATTTGTCTCCCAGTGGCGGCGTGTACCGAGGATACGCGAGGCGATGTAAAGCTACCTACGATCTCCTGACCGTACACCGGAGACCTGGATTCTTGGCGAGAGAAGGAGAATCCTAGGAGTCGAGTTTCCACAACGACGGAGTCGCGGAAACGCCCTCGAGATATGTACCCTCATCCCCGATCGGTTGTGTAGTTTGATATCCACCGATGTCTTGACTCTGGATGTCTTCTGACGTGGATGTTGGGAAATTAAAGCATAACGAGTTGGTCTTAGTTAGGATGTGGAAGAATCATCATCGTCGAGGTAATTAGAGACCTCCTCTTTCATTCGTCGAGGTTTAGATCGAAGCGTAAGGAGTGACACTGCGTCTAGAAGAAGATGGCTTGTTGTAAGGTGCAATTTGTATTAGAGAACGATGTAAACGCACGACAGGTAGCTTTGTGTTCCCGAGTAAACAAGAGTGTGGTTGTACATTACGCTGAACTCATAATTTAATAAATATCTGAATCAATTAGTCCGTAACTTATATACCTTTTTTTTTGGCCTGAACATTATTTCTTTTATCACGTTTCACGAATACACGTGCCAAACTACTGTTTAACAACATGACTTGACTTCTAGCTTTTATATACCTCGCTTTCAGATTCTCGATGGCACGTTTGAAACTTGAAGTTTACTTAGCCATCTTCTTGTGGACACAGGTTAGGTGATACAAATAAGATATCAAGAATACCTCTTTATTTGTTGAATACCTTCTATGTTATTTCTTCTTAAGTTAGCTACTAGGAACTCGATGCTAAGTTATCAGTGCTAGGATGGCGAATTCAAGACTAGACGTGAGTTAGCCGTCTTCCTGTTAAGGGAAGACAACGAGACTCAATAACGCAGCGCTCCCCTAGATCGTGAGGGGGCGCTGAAACGGGCGGTGACTTTATACACCTATTTTCAATCACGTTCAGCCGCGATAAAAGACTTTCCTCCTCGCGATCGTGTACTACCCTTCGGGCACAGGATTTTGTTTCCCGTGCTGCACGGGTTCGGCGTCGCGCGAATAAACACGCCAGGGACACGCGATCTGATATTCAATATCCTCGGCTTTCCCCTCGGGAGAGTTTGCCTGGATCTCGAACTAGCATACGTCGTATCCAGTTTCTGCGTGTTCCGACCCAGTGGGATATAATGATACATTTTTCGATTTTGCAATATCGCCAGGGATCACGGACATCCCCTCGTCCTCGGAAATTATTGGAACGGAGGGCGGATTACTCGTGTGTTTGTGAATTATTATTATTTATTCATTTGGGAAATAAAATATTTTTGGAATGCGTGTGGCTAATATCAGAAAATTTATATATGAGATATCAGTGCGCATGATTCAAATTTAACGTACGTAGATCGATAACCTTCCCGAACTGTTTCCCTGATCTGTTATTATCGTCGAGTTAGTTCCTCGAAAACCTTCGAACCTTGAGATATTTTATTCTACGGTCAATTGTGGCTCCTTACTTTTGTTCTAACAGTTAATAGCTATCCTCATCAGTGTTAAGGGCATTCCATCTTTAGTACAACACCATCGGATGGTTTAACTCGGTATCTCGCAGGACACTCTGCACGCGCATCGAAAGCCCCCGCTCGACGGAAGATCGGCACGCGTCGCAGGCTCTCGGATCGAAATCATTGAATTAGAAACCGTGGGGGTCAGTGGAAGGAAGGTAAAGTTCGCGTCAGCGAGCAGAGTTATCGGCGTTTTCCGGCCCGTAATGGCTGTCTAGCGGTTGCAGACCGAGCGGGACGGAAAGAATCGCGCGTCGAGAATTTAAAGGGCGTGCGAAGTCGCTTTTACGCGTCGGATGCGCAGCCCCGATTCAATTTATATCCGCCGCCAGCTCGCTTCCGGGTCGAGCCACACATCTTGCGGGATTGCAGCACTTCGTCCGCTTCCGGAATCGTTGGATGACGTCTCCCCTCTCCGTCTTCGATGAAATACGGGGACGCTGGCCGTCGCGACGATTACTCGCGGAGTAGTGTTATTGGGGCGGCGAAGATGACGTCGCGCGCGTATTTTCTGGAATGACGCGAATAGGAATCGCGGAGGAGTTTGTCGAAGATTTTATCGATCGTTAGGGGTAGGTTAATTTAATTAGAAAAATCCTTGGTCGTCCAAGGAGGCTGTTCGTTTCTTAGCCTTACCAGTGGAATGCGCTACGCTATCAACAAAGTGCTCTATTCATCGATAGTGTGCTTTACCTTCCTTTCGCTAATAGGGTCACGTGTAAGGCAGGAGATGCTAGATAAGTCTTACCGATGAGTCTAAGCACTCGATCTAAATCTAAACTGACTAATATCGATACCGTCACAAAACCATCATTATTACCTAATTTTGGATCTCTGCAAGTACGAAGTCCAATGATCTTCGATTGCCTGATGTATCTAGAGTAGTCTATCAGCGCTTGGTCCTTTCCTGGAACCGCAGATTGACTCTTCCCTCTCTATCTCCCATCCCTTTGCCACTGTCTTCGATGAAATACGAGGACGGTGGTCACCGTGGCGATTACTCGCGGGGTGTTGTCGGGGCGACGGGAATAAATCGCGGTGCAAAATGGATCGGGCGACGCGTAGTGGGCAACGGTCACGCATCGACGAGTGTCAAAACACCGTGGAGGTCGCTGCCAGTCGATGCATTAAAGGGCGTCGAGTTAATGGGCAAAACCGAGGTCCACTGCCGGTGAAATCGGGGTTCGAGCACGCGTTGCTCCCGAAGGAATTGACGAAATGTATACCCTGGAAGCGGATCAACCGTCACAGATCACGATGGACACTTATCTTGGACGGTTCGTAACTGGACAACCCGACAGACACATTTGGGAGGGCTGAAAGGGGAGGAAAAATGTTTGATTAATGAGACGTCAGGATTTTTTTTAAATGGAGAGATTGGTATTACATTTAATAGTCATAAGAGTGATGTTGAGTAGGCGTTGATGTCCTTGGAATAGAGTGGTAGCTGTTCCTTTCAGTCTCTTCGGGGATGAAGTATTCGATTGGTGGAATCTTTCACTAGGATGCTGTTGTTTGGGTATAAGTGGCATTCGGAATTTACACCGGTGGTCGGGGCTACTCGGACGAAACTACGGGCAAAAGAAATATGAATGGGCTGGCAGCAGGTGGATGAGTATCTGAGAGACATACTAGCAAACTTTGAAGCGTTATAGCTTAAAAACTAATAAAAATCGGATAAATACATTAAAGCTTAATGAATTCGTCTTGAAAAGTACTATCGCATGATATAAAAAAAAAATATACAGTTCCATTTGAAAAACGAAATTTGTCCATCATAACACGTTAAATAACAAAGTTAACAAAAATTGCTTCGCGCTGAAACATGAGTCTCATTTTACCATGCAGTTTCCATATTTGAAATTTTGCATTCGGCCGATAGTTTTGAAGTTAGAGCTCTGTGCCACTTAGGCTGGGACACCCTGTATGTAGCATCGTAAAAAACGTGGCAAGTTATCCAAATTAGAACTTACAGCTCGAGTT